AACATTTTCGAAAGGAAGAAAATCTAGAAGAATCAGCAACAGAATCTCATCAACACTCATCAGACTAGTATCACTTGGGTGATAAAAACTGTCATCATAATCATCCTTAAATTCAACATCTGAGTCCTGCATGGTGCCTATATTCACCAATTTTTGCTGCATTTGAAGTCACAGCTTCCTCAGTAGAGACCTTCATCAGAGAGGTAATAATTTCTTTGGAACCTTGGGAAAAAACAGTTACCAACATAAACTGGATTTAGTTTTGCCGCTGTATTTTTACAGCTGGAAGAGAAGAAAATGCAAAAGTCCATGCCTACAAAAATATCCTGACTAGCCATGTCCCATGACCTATACAAGTCTTACACTGAAAGATGAGGAAAATCTCAAATTACTATCTTTACTATGTTATTGAAATAATTATAGTTTTAAAAATCAGCTGGAAAAATTTTCCTCTCAGAATACTGGGATTCTGTCAAAGAATCTGAGTGATTCTGGGGGAGAAGAGCAAGTGAAAAAGACTTCAGTAAAATGAATTAGTATTCAGGATAAAGAAATAATGCCTACCTAGGATACCTGTGATATTTTATTGGTTTTGTTAATAAAAGCCAGGAGTTCTCAACGCATAAGTCATCAGCAAAGTATTTGCAGTATTATCAATATTTTTCCTATTCCAGTATCAGTCCCTTCATTCATTTATGCTACTATCATCCTTTTTTTCCCCATGCTAATAATTTCAGTGGTTGCACTAGCTTTCTCATACAGTATCAAAGCACATCTGACAATACTCTATAATCAGTTTCACTACTAGCAACAGGATTCTCACAGAACACAAAATTACTCAGGATGAGATTACAAAGAGGGTTTGGGGATTTTTCACAGTGGAGAGCATGCTTCTTTTCAAAAATCACCAAAATATTGCACATTTCACAAGCAACAATTTGGAATAAGCCTTCTTCAACATGCTCCCTTTACCCTCCTTTCTGCCCGTATATTTTATTTTCTTTGGCAGAAAACTGATTATTGCAACTTTGTTGGGCCACTGCCTACCCAGCTCTGAAGCAAGCACTGGGCTGTTTCACGTGCTTGTGAAGACAGAAGCAATCACCTTCCAGGACTGTGTGTTTTGCCAGCTGTATTGGGGTTATGCACTGAGGTTTTCTAACAGGGGATGGGGACTACAGGGAGACTTCCCTGAGAAGCTGAGAGAAGTTTTGGCTTTGTCCACTGGAAGCACTGTTTTTCATTCGAACTGTATTCCTCTGTGAACTGAAACAGCTCTAATCAATCATAAAAAAAAAAAAAAAAAAAAAAAAAGAAAAAAAAAAAGGCTGTGTTTATGATGGGGCACTGACTTGAAGCAAGATCGACCATTCTGACTTCAAGAAATTCCTGTCTGAGATTAGGAGAGGAGTCGTCTTCTGTATCCGACCGCATCAAACCTTAAATTACCCTCCAGCTCTCCACCTGCTGGAGGCTGCGGGAAAAACAGTTTCCCTCCACTCCTCAAGGAAAAAGGATTTCCATTCTCTTTAAGAACAAATGACGTAATCCCTGCTTTTCCCTTATTTTTGGGGGGTGTGGGGCGCTGTTTTGTTCTGGTTTTGCATGGATCAGAGATAATTACCACGCGGTTTGAGAGCAGCCCGCCGGTGCCAGCCGAGCCCCGCTGCGATGGTGTTCGCAGGAGCCTTAGGATGAGGGAAGGGACAAGAATGTTGGCTCCATGTTTCAGAAGGCTTGATTTATTATTTTAGGATATATTTTATATTGAAACTGTACTAAAATAATAGAAGAAAGGTGTTACATGGCTTTGCAAGGGTTCCTCAGGGTGAGAGATAGACGAGAATCTTGCTTCATGATCAGAAGGCTGGATTTATTAATTTATGATATATAATACATTACTACTATACTAAAAGGAATAGAGAAAAAAGTTCAGAAGCTGCTAAGCTAAGAATAGAATAACAATAGTTCTGTGTCTAAGCAGAAAACAAGGACAACTCCCCTGTGAGTGGTCAGCAAATCCAAACACTCACAAAAGACCAATCACAGCTGCACCTGTTGCATTCCACAGCAGCAGAGAACCATTGTTTACATTCTCTTCTGGGGCCTCAGCTTCCCAGAAGAGGGAAAACCCTAAAGAAAGGATTTTTATGAAAAAATGTCGGTGACAGAAAGGATTTCATCAGAAGGCTAGCTAAGAATAGAAAAGGAATGATAACAAAGGCTTGTGACTGACCGAGTCAGTCCGGACAGCTGGACTGTGATTGGCCATTAATTAGAAACAACAACGTGAGACCAATCACAGATCCACCTGTTGCATTCCACAGCAGCAGACAGTCATTGTTTACATTTTGTTGCTGAGGCCTTTCAGCTTCTCAGGAGAAAAATTCCTGAGGAAAGGATTTTTCATAAAACACGTCTGTGACACCCCGCACCCCCGGCACCGCGGGGGACAGAGCGGCGCCCCCTGCCGGCCGCGCTCCGCACCCGCGCCTCCAGCGCGACATTGCACCCTGCCCGCCACCCTCCAGCACCGCGGGCAAACGTTCCCGCGGGTTCTCACCCTGCTCTTGCTTGGGGTTCTCTTTTTTTATTTTTCCTTTTCTTTCCTCTCTTTTCCTTTTTGGTATGTCTCTTAAATAGCTGGCAATCAACGTCTGCATGCTTTTTTCTGCATAAAAAAAGAGACTGGATTGTTTTTTACATAGTTGCCAATTATTTTTTCCAGCATGGGAAGACTCCTCTAACAAATTAAAATATTCATTACAGCAGATGCTCTCAGCAAGCTTCTTTGGAAGAACAAATGACATCAACCCGAAAAAACACTGTTTGGCTGAATATGAGCATCACTAGTAAAATTACCAAACCCTTTTTTTCCCCCGTGGTATGAAGCAGCCAGGAAAATTTATTTCAATACTGAGTGTTGTGAACTAGTCACATGCATGGGATTTAAGCCATCCATCCATGGCAATGTTGTTGGTCTACTGGAGAAGACAAATCATGAGCTGAGCTGATGCAAAGACCCCCAAGACTGTTGCAATCATCTCATGCTTTACAGATCAAATTCAGTACCTGACATATTTAAAAATATTAAATTATTTTAATAAGTTTGTTTACATTTCAAACAAATCAGCAAACATTGTTAAAATTCACTTCATCTCAAAATTGCAGAATCAAATACTCTGCGAAAATTCTTACACCTTACAGTTTGACATTAATCCAACAGATAAAAATAGTATCTGGAATGATTCTACTGATTTCTGCAGCTCACTGATAGAAAATATCCCAACCTACTCAAACAGTAAACAGAAAACAGTTATGATTTAACCCTTATCTCAAAATATCTTTTTGAAGTTACTTAGCAAAAATAAACAACTCTGTACTTAAAATAAATGATGTACAATTACAACAGCTCTTATGCAACCTGTAGTATAATCTTAAAAAAAAAAAAAATTCTCATTTGTTGTCATTATATTGCAAAGGTTCCATATTACAGAGTTTTGTACCTCCTTGATGTTTCTCGTAGGCAGCTCCTCTAAGCATTGACTTCCTTCTTCTCACAGCAGCCAACTGACTCCAATTCCCCTCAACCAACCAACCCACTCTTTTATAACACTTTTCTTATTGGCTGCAGCTGCGGCCTGTTCCTCACCTCTAGTAATTGGCTCAGCTGCAACTCCTTAAGGGGCAAGACTACTTTCTATACTATCTTTATTTTCTTATATTGTATCCCCCTGCACTCATTTGACTGTGAGCCTGGTTCCAGACCTGTAAATAAAGATTAGTGATAAAGTCTCTGGCTGCCACCATGCCCACGGGAGATCTGCTGAACTAGACTCAATTTTGTCACAGAAACTTGCACAACTGGAACTCAGACGCAAAAAGAAAGTAAATTACCATGGTACTTCAGAAAAAGAGGATACTACAGACACTACAGTGAAAAGCATATATATAAGAATTTGTATGAAATATGGACTGACAGATAAATGGCATTTTAGGAGAAAGCATATCAGAGATTTGTATTTTACCTTGTGAAAATTCATCAAGTAGGGCTACAAAAGGAAAAACAACTATGAAGTTCAACAACGTTCTCTGCAAGAGAGCAACTATCTGCTTTCATGCAAAAAAACCCCAAACAAACAAAAAGACCCAACTTTCAGGGGAAAAAAAAAAAACACCACCAAAAACCATAACTCTGAAGCAGTTATGACGGTCCAAATTTGTGACTCAAGAAAAAGATCATATGAAGCAACTGAGAATTGACTAATACTTCTCCCTTCTGCATGAATTTAAAATGGAAGTTTTCACAGTTCCATTGATGCAGTTTAACAGTCAGAAGAGCAAAGCAGGGCTGGGAGGAGTTGGATTAGTCAGACCGTCAGTGTTCTTAACAAAGTTTATTAATTGGTTATTTTGTGGCCTGAATGTAGGTGGAAAAAAGGGTGAATTGTAATACAGGGATAGCAATTTTTTTTTCAAACCAAGAGCAACCAAAATACATTATTCCACTTTTCAGAACAACCACTCTAATGCAAAGTTGATCACATTAATGGTGCACTTTGTAACAGCCCTCAGAGACAAAGCAAATTAGTACTTTGGCCTCCTTTGAATATCATCTTATCTGAGGCCTGGGGAGTAAGCAGAAGTTGCTAGTAATTAACTGTGGCCTTCAACAATAAAATCATATTAATCCTCCAATGCTAGAATTTGTAATAAAGGCATAGCTCCATGGTGGCAGAAGCACAAGAAGATAGCAAAAATAGCGGAACATGTCTTTAGACATGAATGAGAAGCTTCTTGTTTTGTTTTATGTAATAATCACAAAGCATGAAATTTTGACAACTTGGCATGTTTTGAACTTACTTTTACTTCACTCATTTTTAAGAGCAAATGGCTGATGGTGTCTAAAAACAACATTCAATGAAGGGTAGCTTTGCAGGAATAGATGGGATCCTTAAAGTGGAAATCTGAAGAATTAGAAATATAGAAAAATACCATCATTCTATATTAATGAAGTTTTTATTCAACACCCAGATCTTCCATTTGATGGGGAAGCAGACAAACATATCCCTTAAAGAAGAACCTCAAACAACAGAGTACTCCTCTACTACTTTACAACTGATGAATGCACACCCATTTCTCCTAGACTTTGTAAAAAATAAAAAAATTCATAGGAACCCTTAGCAGAGTGCCTCATCAGGAAGGGCCAGCCCAACCACTGCTCTTTCAGTTCTTCCAGGAATGGCTTATTTGTGTGCAATGAATAAGCAGATAGATGCTGGATACCATTGGAGTACATCACAGTGAACAAATACTGCCCACAGGGTGGGGTGGCACAGCAGCACACAGGCCCAATCCCTCTTAGCAGGTGCTCAAATTACACCTTCTTAAATGCTTAACACTTTGTCTGGATTCCAGATATCAACCTCACTGCTAGCAGAAGTCACCAGTACAAAAAGAAATTGCTGTAATAGGCTTCAAAGAACAAACAGCTTCCATGCTCCTCTTTATTTCAACAGAGATGATTAGGTAAGGTGCTTTAGGATTCTGCCCGGCAGACAGGCTGGCAGAGGTGCCCATTTAACAAGCTCTGGAGTCTTTAGCGGGTATGTGAGGGCAGCCCGGGGCAGAGCCCTGAGCTGCTAGTTTCTGTAGCGGGGCATCTGTGGAGCAGGGGCTCCCTCTAAGGGGCCTGAGGAGGAGACTGTCATCAGCTGTCCACCGTGAATTCTCTCATTCATCCGCAGGTCACAGCCATCCTGCAGCATCCTTATGGCGATCCTTGCAATGTTTTTAGAGTCATCAAGTCCACTGTGAGGTCTCCCATCATAACTCATGCCCAGATTTTCAAGCATGATTGTCAGCTTGGTCTGATTCCTAGGAACCTGATGGAGAAAGTGAGTAATGTTCAAGGATTAGGTTGGGTACCAAGTCTTTTTAATCTAACAGGGCAGTAGAAACATATGCAGATTTTAAGCCTACTTAAGTCACAAATGACTTTCATGTTGCCTTCTGTCAGATCACCATTTAACTTCAAAGCACCTTGGTGAGACAGAGACTCTCATTTTCACAGAGGAGAAATAGTCAACAGGAGTTTGCCTAGACCTGGGTCCTGGGTCAAGAGCCTCTGACCAGCACCAGCTCAAGATACACTTGTGCTGGCAAGGGTGGAAGCTGTGACCTAGATAAGTTTAAACATCTTTATAAAAAACAAAAAACATTGGCATTGCAGAGGGAATCTGAGTTTGGTTTTCCTTTTAAATTCTAACTGATTACAGATGCACCGAGCTCCTGATTCTCACTGACTTCGAGCTCCTGAATGCCTTCAGCCTTCACAGGATCTGATCAGCAACACCTACAGCAACCCTGTAATATTTGTCCAGCACAAAGTAAGGCTCTTCCCTAATTAAATGTCAATCTCTCTTTTATCTAGAGGTTACATTTAGGATGAAAAAACCCTTCAAATGAAGACCATTACCTACACTGAAATCCCTTTCAAAAAAAGTACTTTAGTGTAGGCTGATTGGGAATTTGCTAGAATCTCCAATAACTCATTTTATGGTAGTCCGACAGAAAGTAGCAATAAGGTCCAGCACTGAACTCAGTATTACTTTTCTCTTGACAATTTGATTCCACTGTAGATACATCCTAATCTTTCTCTGTGTCCATTACACTGTCAAAAGTCAAGATTCTATGAGGGGAATGGTACAAATTACTTTTGTAGTGTATTGCATGAAAACAGGAAAAAATAATCAAAAAATTAAGACAGTCTTTCCAGCTGAATACTTGATCTAAGAGGAGCGGTGTAAAATTTTTAGACAATCCTTGAAGGAGCACATCCCAATTCTTAAAAACAAGATTAAAATCAAAATGTAGTAATTATATGTTCTTCAGTTAGTGAAGTGAGATCTGCACATGAAACACATTTGAAAATCAGGTACCAGGTAAGTAGTTCAAGTACTATAATTTTATACTACACAAGTAGAGATGACAAGCACAACAGGTCACTCTAGACTTTTAAACCAAAACTTCCCGTAAGAGAAACAGCAATTTGTACAAACCTTGTAGAGGTTCCCATAATTGTGAGTATTGATCCACTTTTTGGCAAAAGAAGGGTATTTGGTACGGCTAATAAAGCACTGGATGTTCAAAAATTTACTCATGTCCCAAGATATTAGAAAGTCAAAAGAGGAATATTATTAGTCATATATAATCCTGTGTTCTACATATTGTACTGGTGTAGAACTAAAAGCTGTCTTGTCTCTGGTGATCAGTAGAATGAAAACAGTTTGGGAAAAGCTCCTTTGCTGTAATCCTGGTAAAGAATTTTTTGATACGAATTTGTTAATCATGGGGGAAAAAATAATGACAGGGGCAAGACTTTCACCAGGATGGTTTCACAGCAGCTGGGACAAAAAATAGCACACCAACTACCACATCAGCACTGAAAACTGCCAGTAAATTAGATGCTTACACAGCCCTCGGGGAAGCAAGCAACACCTTAAATATTCGTGATTATCTGTGTATGCATTTATCTCTCTACTTCAGGTAGGTTATTGAAACTAGACTGCACCAAGTTTTATGAGAAATCAGATCTCTATGAAAATATGAAGTAATTATAATCCTATTTATTTAGCAGCTTGCCTTCCTGAAGGGAACCACCCCAACAAGTTTGTAAACTGCAAGCTAAAGTAAAGCTTTTCTCCCCCATCTCTTCTAGTTGTCTATGCAACCTCACTTTTACAACAGATATTTTAATGCACCTGTTTTCCTTAAGGAATTTCACTGAAGGGATTCCTCTGGAGGAGAATTCCAGAGACCCAGTAATATAACCAGTCTTGCATCAGCTTTGCTTTAGCATTTCCTTTTTTTAATTCACTGTTGCTTCCAAAGATAGCAATGTAATTACAGGTTAAAAATTAAAAATTGCAGAGTGTTATTTTCAGGTATTATGTGCTAGATATAAATGGAGAATTACAGCAGCAACAAAGTATAAAGTCTTCAGCATCACTCTGTTGCATACAGACCACTAGGAAAGCAACGGTGACATCTGATGGATTTAAGCTTCATTCTGAATAGTTCAGTTCAGCTTTACCAATTTTAACAAAAGCTTCAATTAAAATTAAACCAGCAAAATGGCAGCGTCCCGATCCATCTTTAGCAGTACTCTCACAAATATTAAACGTGGTTTTGCAGTTTTAGATTGTGCTGAAGGCTGCATAAGGACATACCCATCAGTCAACATGGAATAGCTGTACTTTGTTCCCAGTTCTCGTTGTCTCATCCACTCTACGACATTCTGCAGAACTTGAGGAAAAATATCAGCTTTATCAACAATGTCCTAAGGAAAAAAAAAAAAACCAAAAAACCCACAACAAAACCAAAAACCAACAAAGTAAGGAACATTTTTTCAGAAAAAAATCCCTCAGCATTAGGTGTATCAACTGTATCGGTATATGGGCAATTAAAAACTTGGCTTCATCTAAATCTTTACAAAACCAGATTACACATTAACAAATGACTGGACAGGTTTTTCTAAACTGAAAAAATAGCACCACAAAAGCTCTGCTAAAGAGTCAGCCTCCTAATAGCTTCTGTAAAGGTAACAAGGTTAGTCTGCAGTTAAACCTGGATTAAAACCTTTGAGGTTGTTTCCCAGGCTTCTTCTTAAGTCACTTATCACAAGCCATTGCCATCCTAAGACTCTACACTCTTCAGAGCAAAAATATTAGGAGAGGAACTGATACAATTCAAAAGGTCCTTTGCCCTACTAAAGATTAAATTTCTCCACATTAATTAAAAAGAGAATATTCTTCCCAACAAAATGACCAATTCAGTGAAATCAGCTCTGTGATAATTGGGAGAGGGTAAAAACAAGGATTAAGAGAATAGGCCTTACAGAAAAATAACCATGAAAGACTACCATTTAAGGTTTCCAGTCTGAACACAACATATCCCCCTTTTTTTTTCCTATTTCTTCCTGAAGAAACAAAAGTGCAAATTACCTGGGTTATTCCTGTCAGACTGATGCAGAAGTCTGAAAGCTTGGGATTAATCTCTGGCTTCACGTATTGCTGAAAGGTGTCCTCCTGTAACAGGAGAATCAAGGGCTCAGCTGCAGCACACTCTGCAGCCTGCAAGGCAGTTCTCTGGCTCGCCTGCAGCCCAAAGGCAGCAGCAGCTGCTTGTCCTGCTGCAGGCAAAAAGGAATGTGCACCTCCTGAGCCAGCAGGAGCCTCCCGACTGGCCACCATCAGATTTCTAACAGGACAGGCGGCTTTCCAACCTGAACATGGCCTTCCTCTCAGCCAGCAGCCACCAAAGAGTGGGAGTGTGGATTTAAGAGGGAAAAAGGACTTTTTTCTGAAAAAAAGCAGAGGATTTGGGAAGAGCGAAAGTAATTAAAATTAAGTGAGAGGCATGAGGTTTTTTTAGGTGGTATCTCTAAAGGTTCACCTGCAATTCAAGGAAAGCAAGCAGCTGCACACCTCAGAAGCTGCAGGCAAGTGCCTCTGGATGCCAGCCAGGCAGAGACAAACAAAATCTCACTCTGGGAAACTGAGCAACACAAGAGTGAAGACTGAAGGCAAGTTTCATGGAAAAAAGAAAGCCCCAAATCCCTGCTGTTATACACAACCTTTTGGACAAACAAAAAAAAACCACTCTAAGAGCCATAAAAACAATCCTGGTAATCTGCACACTCCTTTTCCTGCTGTTAATAATTCTTTATTGTAGCATCACAATGATTACTGGAAATCCTCTTTCCATTAAGAGTTCTTCATAAATTAATCATTAGTCAGAGGTGTGTGCACATCCTCTGTTTCACTGGGTGACTCAATTTCAGTTAAGCAGCAGGTAGTTTGTCCTAAAAGAAAGCTGTACTGCAATAGAGCACTTGAGGCTACCAAATGCCTGTGAAGATGTTTAAAATCAGGTTACACAGCTGTCAGTCTGTTGGGTACAGTGTGGAGACAGCTGAGCCTGGCAAGAAGTGGAGTTCACTCCACCTCCCTTTCCAGGCCTCAGCATTAGTGTCTTCTAGACTGCTCACACAGGACCACAGAATTGATCCTTTTTGATTATGATGAATGCCTTGAGTCCCAGAAATAGATTTGTGGGCCTTAAAACAGAAGAAAGCAAGGGCAGGAGGGAACATACATGGACAACGGAGAAATTCGTATCAATAGAGGGAGTCAACAGCAGGAGAATGATCTACTTGGATGATCATTTGGAAAATGCTTTCAGAAGAGAAAGTTTTGTTTGTACCTAAGAGGCACAGAGGATAAAGCCTTATGAAAAAAAAAAAGTATGCTATTTTTAATGAAGTTCAACATCTACTTAGAAACTAATCAAGACTTTCTGATGCAAACAAGTTACTTCAAAAAACATCAGACGAACACAGACATTAGATCACTTACTATTTCCAGGGTACGTGTGTTTACCAAGACAACAGGAAATTCAATTATTTCATGAACAAACTCAGGCGGATTTCCTTCTTCACAAGTTGCTTCAAAGTCAACGACACAGATGTAGTCATAGCAGCTGTCTTCACTAATGTGTTCCTTCTGCATCAGCTTCTGTTTCTTATAATAGTTTTTCAATCTCTTTTTCAGTACATCTTTTACTCCTCTAAAGAAATAGGGAAAGTGAGAAAGATCACACTCTTGTTTAATTATTTCCTTGCTGTAAAACTGAAGCTATATTTAACATTTGAAAGCTCAACACTTCTTAACCTCATTTTGAACAGCAGCACATGTGAAGTCTGAATTCCGCTTTCTCATAGAGAAGTGTTAGCCCCATTATCTACACCACGTTAAACCCACTTCTGGGATAACCCAGAGGCTGTGGTACCCCTCACAGTACAACCCCAGAGACAGACTGGGAAGCATGGCACAGAGCCACTCTGCAGTCACCTCTGCTTCAGCAAGACTCGCTATCCAGAGTCTTTCCAAAGCTCAAGACTTTGCAGATTACTCCTGGTTGACCTCTGGCCCTGGAAGAAGCACTGCTTCACCTGTATTCATTCCCCTCTACTGAAGTGATGCATGCCTGAGGCCCTTCTGCATCAGTGGCATTGTGTGACAACACAGAATCCATCTTGAACGTCCACATCTTAGATTTTTCTAAATTTAAATTTTAAATCCAGCTTGAATAACTCAATTAAAGTATTTGAGATTTCAGTTGTCAGAAAAACCTTCTGGTCAAGATCCTGCTTTTCAAGATGTGGCTATAAATAAATTCACATGGCAAGATTTTCTCCTCATGAGGCACTAAATTAATTTAACCAACCAACTCCCCATCACTACTTCCTCATTCCTGCTGCCTACAGAAACAACACACTATTTTTCTCAGCTGACCTTATACACAATATCTCAATATCTTGCCTGGCCACAGAATTATTAATCTTGAAGGTCATTTCCAGTACAGCAGGAACTACACTATACTCCCTTGCCTCTGCCCCAGTGAACACAAATCCAGCTTATAGAACATTCAATTTTTTCACATTTTTCTAGTATACATATTCAGAGTAGCAAACTCTCCCTCTAAAGGTACTTCTCCTCTGCAGTGATTGAATCCTGAGCCCCATCACCAGGGTTTGTAGCAAGTATCAGATCTGTACTGGTACACTAAATAAAAATATGGATGTTCTGAAGCAAGTTGCTGTATGATGAAGGTCTGCAGCAACACCCGAGAACCACAGCAGTTCTTCTTTCCCCCTTGACCAAAAAGTGATGAGAAGTACCTTTCAGTTATGTATTCTTGCATTTCTTTGGGTTGCCAGTTGAGATAGCACACATTAAGCAGTATGCATTAATCCTACAACAAAAAAGCTGCAACAAGATCGCACATAAAACAACTGGTGTCTGGCGCTGAGTCTGCTTTTCACTTTGTGCTGAGTTTTTAAGCTTTAAAAAAATCATCCCTCATGACTCTACTGCTCTCAAAGATAAATCAACATGTTTACAAATCACCTGGTTTCAAGCTTGAACTCTGCGAGTTTACTCCTGAGCTCTTCTCTGGTCATTCTGTTGATATAACCATTGGTTATAGCAATTTCTTTGTAAATCGGATCGCTGAAGTCGTTTGAACTGGCAGCTGAGGTTTTGCCATTAGTTTCTTGATCACTGATTCTACAATGTTGTCTACCCTAGAAAAGAGAGAAATCAGGAAGTCATTTAAGAACTTCAAAACAAGATGCTTGAGCATTTCACAGCTCGTTTTGGCACGAGGTCGCAGTAAAGCGTCTCACTGTTACACTTACGATCAAACTGAGTGAACTAGTTTACAGATAGGCAAGAGAATCAATACTGAAGCCTGCTCTGAAACAATGTTTTCCTAAACAGCAACAAACAGAATGAAGAGCTACTAATCCCCATGTCTAGAGCCATGTCGAACAGCAGCGCTTGGAGACACAACTTGAGCACGCATCCTAATCTCAGCAGAAGAAGTTCTCTGGTGCAAACGGACAAAGCCTTCAGGAGCAGCGAGATTTCTCTCGACGACGGAATTAACCAGAATCCACACGCGGGCCGGTGCCCAATGCGTGCAAGATAAACAAAGCAGTAAA